ACCCACGTTAAAAGTGTACCTTGACACACCCACCCATGTTAAGAGGTGTACCTTGACACTCCTACACCCACGTTAAAAGTGTACACCCCATGTTAAAGTGTGCACACACCCACGTTAAAGTGTAACACATACACGTTAAAAGTACACACACCCACGTTAAAGTGTATCGACACATACACCCACGTTAAAAGTGTACCTCGACACATACACCCACGTTAAAAGTGTACCTCGACACATACACCCACGTTAAAAGTGTACCTCGACACATACACCCACGTTAAAAGAGTACCTCGACACATACACCCACGTTAAAAGTGTACCTCGACACATACACCCACGTTAAAAGTGTATCTCGACACATACACCCACGTTAAAAGTGTACCTCGACACATACACCCACGTTCTCGACACATACACCCACGTTAAAAGTGTATCTCGACACATACACCCACGTTAAAAGTGTACCTCGACACATACACCCACGTTAAAAGTGTACCTCGACACATACACCCACGTTAAAAGTGTACCTCGACACATACACCCACGTTAAAAGTGTACCTCGACACATACACCCACGTTAAAAGTGTACCTCGACACATACACCCACGTTAAAAGTGTATCTCGACACATACACCCACGTTAAAAGTGTACCTCGACACATACACCCACGTTAAAAGTGTACCTCGACACATACACCCACGTTAAAGTTGTAAATATAACAATAAATTTTCGGCACCCCAAATTTAAATATGATTCGTTCAATTAATCTAAGGAATTTACAACTAATATATATATAGATGACTTCCTTTCTTAAGACTCTTATGTTGACAAAAAAAAAACTAAAAGAAATGTACGAGCAAAAGAAACTTATTTTTTTATGAGTGTAGCCTCGAGTGATGAACAGACCGAACACGTGTCTGCAGTGAGTATCTGGCAGGGTAGTAATGATTTGCTGTCGGCCAGGTGAGTGTAATAGTCACTTTCTCAGATGGGAATTTATCTTTTAGAAATTTACTGTTCGCTCCCAGGTAGTGTTCAAGGGGAGCAGCCTACCTCTCCCTCTGTCTGTCTGTCTGTCTCTTGTCTGTTTCTGTCTCTGTCTGTCTCTCTCTCTCCCCTCCTCTCTATCTCCTGTTTTACATCCTCTCTCTTCCCTCCTCTCACGTCCCTTCCCTTCACCTCCCATTCATCTCACCACACCAACACTTCCTTTCCCCAACCCCCTTCTCTTCATCTCACCTCACCACCCCTCCTCTCCCCTTCCCTTCTCTACCCCTTCCCTTCTCTACCCCTTCCCTTTTCTACCCCTTCCCTTTTCTACCCCTTCCTTTTTCTACCCCTTCCCTTTTCTACCCCTTCCCTTCTCTACCCCTTCCCTTTTCTACCCCTTCCCTCTTCTACCCCTTTCTTTCTCTACCCCTTTCCTTCTCTACGCCTTCCCTTCACTTTCCCTTCCCTCCCTTCTCACCTCACTAACCCATCCCTTCCCCAACCCTTCCCTCCCCCTCCCTCTACCTCCCCCTCCCTGGTAGTAAAATTTGGGAAGGTGGCCGAGGAAATACATTTTGTGAGAGTGGACTCCACCCCTCCCTCGCCCGCCCCGCCGATAAAAGTCTTGGGGCGAGAAATAAGGTGCAGGTTTAACTCAGGAGGCGGCGGGAGGGAGGGCGGGCCAGGTGCTCCTCCCGCCCGTAATAGTCCAGTTTCTCTCTCCTGGGATCCAATACATTATCGATCCGAGAAGCTTTTAAGAGATTACAAGAACCGCCCACCTGTGATGAAACTCGAAATGAACTTTGTTGGAATATAGATTAAAAGTGATAAAGATGAAGTTAAAAGGGAAAATTTTACGTATGGTTAATTCGTAATTAAACCTTGGAATTTCGATCAACAACGATAAAAATCAAGGGTATAAGAGCGAGAAGAAATTTATAAAGTAAACCTAGATTGTGGAGTTCTAGATTTAGTTAGTTTAGTTTTTAGGTCCTTATTTACGCCCCCTATATAGGGAGGGTAGTCTGATATACGCAGGTCAACCGGCCGTCAAACTGAATTACACACACTCGCCTCGTAGGGCAACTCCACCCCAAGTTCTAGTCAACGTTGACTGCTAGTGGGTGTAAGGAATGAGACGGTGGAACCTGTACCTCTTTGAGTATGCTACGACAACTAAGTGAAGTAGTAGTTTTCTAGAGCAGGTATTTTATATGGTACAAAATTTTAGATATAACGGTAAAATAGTGGCCAAGACATTGGTAGTTAGGATGAACTTGTAATGTTCGTCAAAGGTCTTGTTAAGTAACAACTAGGGGCGAATTGGACTGCACTCTGAGGTACAATGCTGAAGGCTATGTTTTCTCTTTTCGCCACCAATTCGACACTGAGTAAGTGCAGGGAAGGATTTCTCATGAGTTCCCACCATGGCCTATAGCCAAGTCTGATTCTGGCAGCAACTACTGTACATCACTGAGTGGAGCCAGTCATTTATTCCCGTCGTAATGATATTTTGTGTCAATGCTTATCATTGTGGCGAACACTAACACTAGCACCTCGCTGTTCACTTCGTTTTTCGTTTACGATCTGATGACTGGCTTTCTTGAGGAGCGTCTTGACTTGACCAGGAGTTATGGTTGAAGCGTCATCAGGGAGAGGGAGTGTGCAGGCGGATTTTGCGAGGTTGTCTTCATAGTCGTATTTGTGGAGGCCAATATGGGATCCATATCAAGTGGATAAGGAGGGTGTCCGTCTTCCCCCTTATGAGGAAATGTTGGGTTTGCCTCACTGAATCTTGATAGACGGGACGGGGTGAGGTGATCAACTCGATTCCAGAACGAGAATCACTGATCACCAGTCCACTCCGCTCCTCGTCCAGTAAGTACAGTAGTTGGTGGCCCCCACAATGCCCTGTAGTTCACACCTTGTTGTGCTCGCCCAATCTGGTAGGCGACGCATTGCTTCGGCGACACGTCATTCCGGATTACGCCACACAAGCGCAGCCTGAGACACCCGTGTGCTGTAGTGAGCCTCTGGGATGACTGTTGCGACGCCACTGATCTTCTGTAGTGATGCTTGTCGTTGTACTATTGGACGGTCATCTGTCTTAGTGTCACTGTAGTGTAGGGACAGCGGAGTGACCTCCAAGATACACGAGGTTGACCTCTATGATACACGAGGTTGACCTCTATGATACACGAGGTTGACCTCTATGATACATGAGGTTGACCTCTTAAGACACACACGGTTGACCTCAAAGGTACACGAGGTTGACCTTTATGATATACAAAGTTGACCTCTATGATACATGAGGTTGACCTCTATGATACACGAGGTTGACCTCTAAGAAGGAAGTGACGTCATAAATAAGGAGCAGAAAAAAGTTTTTTATGAAATATGGTGTTATGTAAATCACCCCCACCCCCCGCGCAACCCCAGGGTGTGTGATAAATCCTAATCCTCTTCCTCTTCCTCCTCCTCTTCCAGTCTCCCTCTTTATTTTCCCTCTTCCTTTTTTTCTACGTCTCTTTTCCTTACTTCGCCTCCTCCTCTCTTCCTCATTCTTCTCCTATCTCCCCCTTCTCCTCTCTCCTCTGTAGTATTGCTATGTGAAACTTACAATATATTAAAACAACAATGTTCTCCTTACCTTTAAATCCACCGTTACAGCCACTTGATACAGCGGGTACAGTATTGACCATTACTTAAGTGTTTTTGTTTGTTTAGGTCGCTGTAACGATCTCTGTCAGATGTTGCATTATCTTTTATTGTGTTAGTTATAAATTATAACAACTACTGCCACTCGTTAGCTGGCCTCCTAATGGTATTACTGCCTCTGGTGCCAGTACTGAATCCATGAAGAAAAAAAATATCAATTTTCCCGAGTGCTCGCCGCCATTTAGAAAAGTTACCGCCACTAATGATCGTTCAGGGGATGTTAACATTAGCTAAGTCGTGATGCAGTGCTGCCACAACCCTTACTGGTGATAAATCCCCTTCACCCCCCAGTCTCTCACTCTCCTACACAGTTTCCTTTATATCTAATAAGGAAGAAGATGCTGTATTCAGGAAGATGATTTCGAGATGACTGAGATTTACACACACACTCTATCAACAATGTCCCTATAAGATCCACTTTCACTTGCACTAGAGAGGTTGGTGTCTCGTACGATAAAATATATCAAGTTTTCCCCTAAATAATTTATAAAAGGAAGAGGATTGTGCTTCCTAGACTCGTTCTAATGAATACCGTTACTTTGTTGATTAAAAGTGACTGTGTGTCTGTGTACCCTGAATGATATGAGGGAAAGCCTAATGTAGTTTGTTCCTTACAATCGTCTGGTGAAACGAAAACAGATGTTGACGAAGATTAATGTTAATTCTCCCATCAGCCCCGTGATGTTCTTCGAAGGTTCAATAATATATTTCATTCTTCAGGAGTTCTCTTACTCAGGCGGTGTACAGGATACACGTCGGTGAGTGACGCTTTACAACTACCGATTTTGCTTCCGCATGGAAACATAATTATCATAAGAGTTTTCCCCGTATTTCAAATTATCACTTCAAAGTAGAACATGATGATAGAAGCTCTATATTCCTTAACTCTAAATTTCTTCCTCTAATAATCTTTTACACTTCAAATTCTTTAATCTTCAATGACACTCACCTGCCTTTCATACAGTATTTTCCCTTGTCTTTTCCATGTGCTTGACTGTTCTGCTTGGCCCCAGTCCTGCAGCAGTCAACGAAAGCATTGGTGAACTGCCACGCTCTCGCTGATCTTCCTGCCACCTTGTTGAAAATTATCTCCCTTCTATCCTATGATGGAGACAGTGACGCTCATTTGGGTAAAGTACTGCAAACGGGGGACATATTTACTTGATATCAGCGGCCAGCTGTGAGCATAAACCAACTGGTAGCGTTGTGAAGTGTTGGTTATGAGTTTCATTGTCACAGTAACATTATCTATGGTTTTTTTTTTTTAATTTGCGAAGGAATAACACACAAATCGTGCAAAATTTTTAATACATTAATACAGAAGACTTTCAGAAGATCAGCCAAAAGTCCAATTTTGTGAGTGTGAATCCAGCCACTGAGGCAGGGAGGCTGACACCAACACGAGCAGCGACTCACATAGCAACAGGCTTCCCAACCGCCCACCGGTAGTTGGGGGGTGGACAGCGGCGCTTTAATTATTGCAAATATATAAGGTGCCTTTCCTTAGGGTAGGATTGAGGAGCCTTAGTTGAGGGACCCCCCCAATTTGTTTTAATCAATAAGGTTGCTAAGTATTATGTTCTTCACTGTATTGCCATTTATTAAGACCAAGTAACTACAATATTTACGAGCAAAAGAAACCATGTGATAAAAACCACAAACAACAACAACAACAACTGTTACGGTACGAATAAAGTAATGTACTGTACATGGGTGTGAGGCAGACGACGTGTTCTACTGTACATGGGTGTGAGGCAGACGACGTGTTCTCATCAGGCTGACCTTCCACACGTGCTGAACTTCTTACCCGCAGGCGATTTTTTCCCTTGAGTTGCCTCTGAATACAGTGTCACTGAAGGGTTTCTTAAGAACTGTGGTCAGGACATTTTTCTGGCATTATGGAAGGTTGGTGTCGCTCTTATAACCTCACCTGTGTACGAGGCGACCTGTGCCCCTGTTATCGCGTCTACAGAAACTGTGCATCACTTGCATTACTCAGCTGTTGATTATGACCGCTATTGTGAAGTGAATAAGTTTGTCGAGTGTTTAACCCAAAAGTAGAAGTAAAGGGCAAATAAAATATCTGTTTGTTACATTATGTGGTAATATACTGTACTATACAGAGCCTAGATACACTAGGAAGTTGCTAAGTAATTCATAAGTAAAAAAGTCAGTTTATAATACAGATGACGTGGCTGGAGTATATGGTAATACAAAGCTCGTAACCCCTAACAAATCGTCATTGGACGTCACTGAACAGTAAGGTTAGTGACGTAGTGATGACTTCATTTACCAGAATGGTTAATAAGTCATGACGTCATTAGCAGCTATAACTTAAGGCTGTCTAAATATAGTTTGAGATAACGCGTCACATGATCCATCACTGTCTATATAAAACACGAAGTTCAAAGATGACACAATACTGTTATCTCACCACGTGTGTGGACGTGTGCGAGTGTTTGTGCTTGTGCGCGTGTGGGTGAGTGCGCGTGCTTGTGCGCTTGTGCGCGTGTGGGTGAGTGCGCGTGCTTGTGTGCGAGTGCACGCTCGTGTGTGCTTGTTTCGCACGCGCACTCGGTGTTTTTGTGTGTGCGCACGCACGCGTACGTAGTGGGTGTGTGCAACTGTGCACGCGTGCGTAGTGTGTGTGTAAAAAAAATACGTTCAGGGTGCAACTTTTGGCATAAAAATAATTAGTATCCCAACTGTGAACCCTTAGACTGACTAAAGTTCGGGTGTTTGGTCGTGGGTGTTGCTGTCTACTTATTATTGTAAATAACAGCGGACGATGTTAACAAGCAAAGACATGTTAGCGGGGGCGCAGATAAACACTGCATGGGGAGGATAAACACAGCATGGGGAGGATAAACACAGCATGGGGAGGATAAACACTGCATGGGGAGGATAAACACTGCATGGGGAGGATATACACTGCTTGGGGAGGATAAACACTGCATGGGGAGGATATACACTGCTTGGGGAGGATAAACACTGCATGGGGAGGATAAACACTCCATGGGATGGATAAACACTCCATGGGGAGGATAAACACTGCATGGGATGGATAAACACAGCATGGGATGGATAAACACTGCATGGGATGGATAAACACAGCATGGGATGGATAAACACTGCATGGGATGGATAAACACTGCATGGGATGGATAAACACTGCATGGGATGGATAAACACAGCATGGGGAGGATAAGCACCTTGTGGGAAGTGGTTAGGCATCTTAACACTAGGGTACACATCTACAAGTGGTGACCTCACCGTTCAACACCTGTCGTCTGAAACCCTAACTAAACCTATGACGTCACACTACACTGATAGGTAGGTTCATGTCAGATAGCAGTGTCCCTCCCCCCAGGTGTATGTGAACCAGCTGAAGTCTAGTTCATATTGTTACTGTAAGAAGTCACTTAGTAATAAAACTTAATATACTGTGATGTAAAAAATACATTAATCTAACTTATGCTAAAAATTATTTCTATGTACCTTTGACACGCAAGCACACGCACACACTCACAAGCACACTCACACTCAATCACACTCACACTCAATCACACTCATCACACTCATCACACTCACACTCACACACACACTTAACAAGGTATATTACGGTTAATATTTAATTAATCTACTTAACATGCAGGCCAGGTAGTTAAGGCGTCTTAAAACTAGTATTTGAGTAATAAATAACAAAACCAAAGGAAGAAATAGAACTGTACCAGATGTGTGTGTGTGCGTGTGTGTGTGTGTGTGTGTGTGTGTCTGTGTGTGTGTGCCCTACAGTACACTAACATGTAATCCAAAGATATGATCAGTGTTTTGGACCGTGTGTGTGTGTGTGTGTGTGTGTGTGTGTGTGTGTGTGTGAATGTGACAGTGTGAGTTTATGAGTGTAAGAGAAGGATGACGTTTACTGTGTGCCTATGGACGTAAAACTCTGTGCCATGATAACTGTAAGTCTTAACCGTGAGCCTTGAAGATGAATCAAAGAGTACGTGTGATGGGAACACCTACCACTCTTCACTACACTAATGGTATATGCTAGGAGACGTTCAAAGATGGCATCACACACACACACACAGACACAGGTCCTGGTATATATATATTATAACAAAAGAAAGCCAAGTTTACTCTAATATCAATTTTGTGTTTTTATTTTCATTTTTATCTTATATTATTTTGCAAATTTCATCTCCACCTTATCGATAAAGTAACGTTATAAGACCTTGAGTTATGTACCTACTACTACTAGGATCCTTCGTTGTCACCCTGGGCCCTGGTGTTGTCACCCTGGGCCCTGGTGTTGTTAGTCTGGGCCCTGGTGTTGTTAGTCTGGGCCCTGGTGTTGTTAGTCTGGGCCCTGGTGTTGTTAGTCTGGGCCCTGGTGTTGTCACCCTGGGCCCTGGTGTTGTTAGTCTGGGCCCTGGTGTTGTTACCCTGGGCCCTGGTGTTGTTAGTCTGGGCCCTGGTGTTGTCACCCTGGGCCCTGGTGTTGTTAGTCTGGGCCCTGGTGTTGTCACCCTGGGCCCTGGTGTTGTCACCCTGGGCCCTGGTGTTGTCAGTCTGGGCCTTAGGTAGTCAGTCTGGGCCTTAGGTAGTCAGTCTGGGCCTTGGTAGTCAGTCTGGGCCTTTAGGTTGTCAGTCTGGGCCTTAGGTTGTCAGTCTGGGCCTTAGGTTGTCAGTCTGTGCCATAGGTTGTCAGTCTGGGCCTTTGGTTGTCAGTCTGGGCATTAGGTTGTCAGTCTGGGCCTTAGGTTGTCAGTCTGGGCCTTAGGTTGTCAGTCTGTGCCATAGGTTGTCAGTCTCGGTCATAGGTAGTCAGTCTGGGCCATAGGTAATCAGCCTGGGCCATAGGTTGTCAGTCTGGTCATTATGTTGTCAGTTTTGGCCTTAGGTTGTTAGTCGGGGCCCAGGTTGTCAGGTCCCGAAGTTGTTACAAAACCAAGAAGATATTAGGTAAAACACTCTGTTGGCCAACTCTTTGGTAATAGTGACCTACGTTGCCAGGACTCTATAGAGCCCTGAACCTACATAATATGACCCTAGGGTGTAATTCTAGTTCCTAGGCCTTAGGATGCAGTACTCAAGGTTCCCTAGACCTAAGGGTACTTGTAACCCTACGTGAATCACGCGATGGAAGTTCTGTTAATCAACTAGTTTTCCTGCGGCTGCGTTACCGCCGTGTTGGCTTAGACAGCCAACACAGGGATGGGCCACTGTGATGTTCTGACACTGGTCTATGCAGCAGATGGTAGTGTAGCTGTTGTGTTAGCTCTGGCCCTTGGAGCAGTTGATGTGTTCCTGAAGACAACTACAGCATGAGTGACACGATGGTGAGGAAGACGGTCACCCCCGGCACTACCGGCGTGGATATCGCCACCGCCTGCCAAGAGAGACATTGTTCAGTATGTTAGTAAATTTGACCAGCGCACTTTATATTAAGATCACCATACGGTTCACCACACACACACACACACCCTGTGACAAATTGCACTGTACACTACCCTCTCTACCGCCTTTCCTCCCTTGTTTACCGCCTCCATCTCCTCTTTACCACCTCCCTCTCCCTTCCTCCGCCAATCAACACTAATACTGTACACACCTTGGGGTCAGCGGAATACTCAGGACAGCCGAGGACGTCAGGTTTCAGCTCGAGGATGTCTTCAGTGCGGCTGTTCTCGGTGATGCAGGTGTGCTGGGCGAAGGACTTGTACGTCTCCGTCCACGCAAACTCCTTCAGCCACGATCTTAACCACATGATCTCACACGTACACTTGAGCGGGTTGTCTGTCGGGTAGGAAGAGGAGGTGGTGAGAGGGAGGATGGTGAACGAAAAGGGAGTGATAAGAGGGTGGTGAGAGAATGAGAGGGTGATGGAGAGGTGTTAAGATAAAGAGGCGAGGGATGAGGGGAGAGAAGCGAGACGAAGGGTAGGGGAAGAGAGGTCGAGGGGTGGGGGAAGAGAGGCGAAGGGTAGGGGAAGAGAGGTCGAGGGGTGGGGGGAGAGAGACGAGAGATAGAGGAGAGAGGTTGGGAGCAAGACTCACTGGAGACGTCGATCATGGTGAGGGTGTCCAGTACGGGCTGCACGGTGTCCTCGGTCAGGTGCTGCAGGTCGTTGTGCGAGAGCTTCAGCCACTCCAGCGAGTGTAGCTCAAAGAAGGTCATAGGCAGGATGAACTTGATGCTTCACCCAGTCCAAGACACCAGGTGATGTGGGAGGAAAGTAGATATGAATTAACTTGCAAAATGGATTATAGGTGACTTAAGTTCTGAGATGATTCCTTAAAACTATGATGACAGTACAGTGTTAATGGGGCAGCAGCCGTGCCCAGACGTCGATGGAAGGGGAGAGCAGCTGTTGATGACGTAACGGTGTAAGGGGGAATGAATCACACTTTAAGGGAATGTTTAGGTAAGGTGATCAGGAGGCTGCTATGGGGTGGCCATCCAGGAAAATGGTCATATAGATTAATAGGTAGATAGAAAATTAGAGAGATAATATATATATATATATATATATATATATATATATATATATATATATATATATATATATATATATATATATATATATATATATATATATATATATATATATATATATATAAATAAATGTTTGGATAGCTTTCATAAAAAAAATAAAGAAAGCTGTCGTGAAATTTAATAAAGGTAAAACACTTTATCAGTCATTCAGTCGAACCAAAAAATAAGAGCCGAGTTACGATATAAACATGTGGGTTCCCGTAACTCGGCAGGCTGACGGTGAAGCCTCAACCTGCCACACTTGACGACTGATTCGTATGCACACACCCGCCGACCCACACACCTTTATGGACGGCCGGGAACACCACCAGAAAACACCTTCAACATTCTACCAATTTCTTGACGTAGGACTTGTATCTACTGACACAAAGATAACACCCCATACACTCCTTCTCTAATATCGTGTTAAGGTACGCGTGTTACCGCAGGTAGAGTCCCCTTCACAGGTGCGTTTACAAGGGCTCCTCATATAACATTACACAAATCATTATCTTTTCAAATATTTGTTTTAATATTGTTTTACTTTGATTCCATAGTATGTTTACCATTGCTACTTTCCTTCTGTTGAATGTAAATAAACACAGTACTGCCACACTGCACAAAACCTGACGAGCCCCTGTAAACGTACTAGTGAAAGGGACTGTACCTGGTGACGAGAAGCGACTGGACAAACACAGGGCAGATTCTTCAAGCGGTGTATGACCCTCGCACATGTCTGTTAGTAAACACCCGTTAAATTTTCCTTTACATTTGCTGTAGATTCCTGGTGTAATTCCTGTCTTGTCAAGCTTTATATATCATACTTTAAAACCTTATAATGCCTCGTCTATCATACTTTAAAACCCCATTACAGTATTACAATTTAGCACCCCATATATCCTACTTTAAAATCGATCTTTAAATCCCCGTAAATCGTAGTTTAAAAAGTCATATATCCTGCTTTAGATCCCTTTATATCCTCCCTAAAGACCTGATATAGCCTACCTTAAGAGACCAACATGATCAAAATGGTAAGAACGAGACGAGTTGGAGTATTGTTTACTGTAATTCCGCTTCTCAATGTTCCTCCAAAGGTCAATATAAACAGCAACAACTTAACGTATTTCGCAGCTTTATTAAAGAGATACGCTCACTAAAGCAACATTCAATAAGTATTTAATCTTACACTGAGGAAGGGAAGGGGCGAGAGAAATGTTGCATCAATAGTTTTGGCTCGAAACATTTTGTGGCAAAAACTAGAGCTTGTTGGTTGGGTCATCGTGTACATTAGTCAAGGTACCTGCCATCTGCTGCCTCCCTCCACCACATAAGGGTGTGGAGCCACAACCTGCACGGTGTAACTGGGTTATCTCCACACCTCGAGCAGGAAAGAATCCGCAGGGAAAAAGGAAAAAGTATCATTGAGAAGAAGTACATAGTTGCGAGCTAAGGATAAATGTGAGAGAACTTGTTATAGATGTTATTCCACACATCAGGTTAGTCCACATCTGGACTTAATCTTATCTACATCAGTGCTGCTTATCTCACATTCCTCTCATTTGAGATGCACTGGGCGACAAGGGCCAATTAACCGCACTTGCGTTATAAAAACAGAAAACAAGAAAACCCATTCCTTTTGATTTCTATCTTTAAAAACCCTCACCAGCACGAGCAACTAACAGTGCCTGGCGTTCCTCTTTGCTTCACAACGACACATAAAACGAAAGTCCCCTCAGCTTGTGTCAACAGAGGCGCTCCTGAAGGCACGACCATATGACCTGACTCCACCCTCCCCTCCCCCTCCCCTCCCATCTATCAGAAAATCCTCCGTGTGTTGAACTTGGGTAATCAACTTTCAATATATGACGCAAGTTTTCTTCATTCAATTTTCAGTAGAGTTTTTCAAAGTTTGGATGATTGGCTTTGGGTGATTCTGGAAAAGTTTGGGTTTGATATGTAAATGAACTATGCGAACTTGATGACAAAGTTGGTTGTGTTGCCCGGCCGCAGCCTCCAGAATTTTTTTTTTTTTTTTTTTTTTTTTTTTTTTGGTGGGTGAGATTTGAGTCACCACCACCACCACCCACCGCTTAACGTGTGTTCAGTAGTAGTAGATGGAGTAGAAATTATAGACAGACATTCTTTGTATTAGAAATGCTTCGTCAGTGGTTAAGAAGCTCGTTAGACAGTAATTAAGTGAGGTATTCAAGTAAAGCATTGTGCTCAGTTTGGTGTTGATCTGACCCACCAGGACGCGCACTAGTTAACACCTCCACGCTGAAACATCATCTTCGACAACTCGTGAATAAAATAAGTATTGGTGTATATATATATGACAAGCATATACCAACGTTCATAGCAGTCATTAAGGATTCATTACAAAATTAATATTCATGATTACTGGATGTATATTGACAGAGGCGGATACATAGATACACATATATATAAACACAATCATAAACAACATGGTAACTGTTTGTAGTCACTTACTTGTTCCGGTTTAACATGAGGAACTTGATACTATCACCGTACCCCTCGAAGGCGTCCTCAGGCAGGTCGACAATCCTGTTAGAGTCGAGGTCGAGCTGACGGAGGTTGTTGAGGGGGCGGAGGACGTGTGAAGGGATGTGGTCGAGGCGGTTGTGACCCAACTCCAACCACTCCAAGTTGTCTGCCTCCACAAGAGAGGTTGGAAGAAGAGGTGGTGAAGAAAACACAAAGTAAACACGGAGTTAAACATAGGAAGTACACGTGAAGAAAACATGGAAGGGCGTCACAGTAGTAGTAAACATGGAGGAGCACCATACATAGGGAGCAAACATCGAGGAAATTTACTTAAAGGTATTACGCTGTGTAAACATAAAGGTAGTAGACAGAATAAACATGTAGGATCTCTACATTATAGGAGTAAACACCGAATAAACATGGGAAAACGTTATATAGTGGAAGTAAACATGAAGGAACACTAAATAAGAGCAAAACACACGGAGGAAATCTGACGCTAAAGGAATAAACACAAGGTAAACACGGAAGGACGATAAATACTGGGGCAGGAGGGAAGACGTGCGATGTGTGACCCACCTTCTAGCCCGGCGAAGGCTTGCTGGCTGATGTTGGCGATGTCGTTGTGCTTGATGTTCAGGGAGTTAAGGTTGGAGAGTTCGCTGAAGACGTTCGCCTCCAGTGTCTGTATCTGGTTGTTCTCCAGCATGAGCATGTCCAGCATGTTGAGACCTGGTGACAAGAACTGATGCACTCAAGACAATCTTCTCATTGGACATACAACAAACTTTTTACAGCAATTCATTAAGCCTCTTTTTATCAATGGACACAAAAGACTCTTACAACAATACGAACTTTCTTCAGTGGACACAAAAGCCTCCTTTAGCAATGTATAGCCCTCTTCCCCAGTGGCTGCGACAACACACAACCAGCTAAGGTTAAACACCTTTTTTTTTTTTTGGATAGAATAACATTGCTACAACACAGCTCAAAGCATTTTTTTACGCAAAACCTTGAAGTTGTCCTCCACCCACACTCGCCCTTGAAGCTGTCCCCCCACCCACACTCGCCCTTGAAGCTGCCCCCTCCCACCCACACTCGCCCTTGAATTTGTCCCCCCACCCACACACGCCCTAGAAGCTGCTATCTACTCACACTCACCTATGAAGCTATTCCTCTAAGCTGCCCACCATGTTAATTACACTTGCTGCGTGTTTTTCACCCTCTCAGGTTTTCATTATCACACTCAACCTTACTCACCCTCGCAGCCACTCACCATGGTATCCCTTTTGATTCAACTTGACACTCACCTTTGAAGCTGCCAATCTTGATGACGGAGAGGCGGTTGTCACTGAGTGTCAGCACCTGTAGCTTCGTCAGCGCCTGCAGATTGGGCACGTTCTCCAGGTGGTTCTTTCCCAAGTTCAGTCGGAACAGTTTGCTGGAGTTTGATAGACAGACATATATTTAGATAAATAGATAGATTTACTTTACCTTATTTACCTAAAGGCCTAAAAGTATTTTCTTATATTCGTTCTGCAGAATAGCTTGACGAGCCTGTGCTTATGTCCCCTCGTGTTGGTGGTGCGTGACATCACAAACAAATGTCCCGAGTTCACATTTCACATCCCTTTCAGTGTTTTGAATATTTCAATGAGATCTATCCTATTATGCTTTGTCTGAAGAGGAGTTAATCCCAAGGTACTCATTCTACTTGGATAATCGAAATGACAAACTTCCGGAATCACCTTAGTCGCTCTGTGTTGCGCCATTCTAGGGATGTTAAACCTTTCTGGAGCTTAAGTTTCCATACCTGTATACATATAGTAATCCAGACTGAGATCTACTTACAGATTTTTACTGTTCAATTGAAGGAGCATTTTCCTATCTTTGTACTCCAAGGTACGCTTTAAAATTCCCAAATCTCGATTACCTTTCCTCACCGCTGCCCTCTCTTGTTGCGCCGCCATCAGTGAATGATCTACCTCAACGCCAAGATCTTTTTTAATTATTGACAGTATCCAGGAAAGTGTTATTGTAGCCTACGAGTAAGGTCTTGTATTTCGTAATTTTAAAGAGCATTGGCCAGTCTCGAGACCATTTGAACACCTTATGAAGATCTTTCTACATTGATGCAGAGTAGTATAATGGTGATTGGAGGGTGGTAGAGGGTGATTGTGGTAGGAGAAGAGAGTGGTGGCAACGAGACAATATGGTAGTGGTGGTGGTAGAAGGAGGTGGTGGTAGTAGGAGGTGGTGGTAGTAGGAGGTGGTGGTAGTAGGAGGTGGTGATAGTAGAGGCTGGTAGTAATAGTTCATATCGTTTAGTTTGGTGGCTGTGTAGGTGATGGTGGTGGTAGTGGGGGTGGTGGTAGAATTGTAGTAGTGGTGGTGGTGGTGTTGGTTGGGATGCTGGTGGTGATTGTGTTGGTGAGAAGCTATTGGTGGTAGTGGGGTGTGTGACGTAGTAATGGTGATGCTGGTGACGTTGTAATGGTGATGTTGTAATGGTGATGTTGGTGACGTTGTAATGGTGATGCTGGTGACATTGTAATGGTGATGTTGGTGACGTTGTAATGGTGATGTTGGTGACGTTGTAATGGTGAAGTTGGTGACGTTGTAATGGTGATGTTGGTGACGTTGCAATGGTGGTGATGGTGACGTTGTGATGTTAGAGACAGTACTAGTGGTTATAAGGAAATTAGTGATTCTGGTGAGGGTGATGGTGGTAGCGGAGGCGTGACACACTCTGGCCCGGGAAGAGCTGTGTCTGGCCACCTAACAATTTCTCACTTAGTACTTCCTGTCTCTCTCTCTCTCTCTCTCTCTCTCTCTCTCTCTCTCTCTCTCTCTCTCTCTCTCTCTCATTTCTACACACACAAAATATTTAAAATTTAGTCTTTGTTGTCTGTATTTATTGTCACATCACCAAGTCAGTCAGTGAGCGAGTGAGTCAGTCAGTTAATCAGTGAGTCAGTCATTTTACTAAATGTATGGTGTCCCTGGGAGAGTACAGTATAACCCTGAAGGTCAATAATGCCTTACAGCTGTCCCATACTCCACTTGGCGCTAGTACAGTTTACAGTAGGAGAGAGAGAGAGAGAGAGAGAGAGAGAGAGAGAGAGAGAGAGAGAGAGAGAGAGAGTTGGATGCAATAACCGTGCAGGAGAAGACGAATGAGGTGGATGAGCATAATGCGACGGATGAGGGTGGAAAGACGTGAGGAATTGGTTGAGGGTGGAAAGACGTGAGGAATTGGTTGAGGGTGGAAAGACGTGAAGAATTGGTTGAGGGTAGAAAGACGTGAGAGGGTAAAGAGTTTCATACACAATAAGTGAAAGGGATTGGGATGATCAAGGGAAGTGGTAGGAAAAAAAAAGATGATCATACGTGAAATGATGGTCAGGATAATTCGAGGAACTGATCACTGTCGATGAGGCGCATGGTTTTAGATTGAATTTTGTCGAATTGGTTGATGAATACGGACTGTGGTGTGTCACTCCCCACATGAGAACAGCATTTTAGGTGGAGATAGACTAACGACTTCTACCTCTCATTTGGTTTTTCAATTCAGCTGTGCCTAACACCCTCGAGGAGAAGCTTATCATTGCCACAGTCTTCTGGGAAAAATTTAATGGGGTGGTGCAAAAGTCTTTCACGAGTAACCTTCACCTCATAGTTTTCTAGGCATTGAAATTATGCTTTTTTCTAATAAATCCAAGTGGTTTCATTTTACATAACTGAGGTGATTGTGTTGAAAAGGCAGAGAAATAAGAGGATACTACATTATTGCTTCCCGGATTATTTGTACTACTCCGTTTTTTAATGACAACCTTATGGCAAATTTCTCTATCTATATATATATATATATATATATATATATATATATATATATATATATATATATATATATATATATATATATATATATATATATATATATATATATATATATATATATATATATATAAAGAGAGAGAGAGATGTGCCTTTAGGTTGTTTCATTGTTGTTCCTCATATGCCAAGATTAGCATTGGCATTATTCTGGTGGGTGTGTCTTGTAAGTAAGAAAAATGCTGCAACTGTAGGAAAAATCAATGTATTCACAGACTGCTTCAACCATCTGTTAAATGCCAAGAAACATTAACATATTACTTAAAAAATTATTATGATGGATTTGTTTAGTAAATGGGAAAAAGGCTGATTGTTAACTGAAAATATCGTAAGGCGGACGTGACGATAAACTGCTTCACTGTCTGTGCTAATACAATATTAACATTACTTTTGGGTTAGGTAAGGATACAAATTTTGGTGGGTAGGCTAGCAGAAAAAATCCTTAGTCGTAATGCGGCCCATGATTGAGGAAAGGTTGCCCATGACTAATAGAAAGCATAAACCTTGAACGTTTTTCCAAGTAGTTAAATATTGCAAGAGGTTACGGATTCAAATTTGGAAAGTGGTGCAGAACAGATACAGATGTATTTTTTATTTATTTTTGGATAGTGACGAACCTGTGGAAGTCACAAACTATGGAAACAGAAACAGTGGCAGCTAAATAATCCCGGAGAACAGGTGACCCCCTAACAAACCGCGAACTTCCTTCTTCCGAACACTTCACTACTGGAGGTGGTGGCAGCTACATAAACAAGTTATTCCAGTGCTTTACCCATATTATTAAATCAAAAGAAAACGAAGTCAGTACCACGGGTAACTATAAGAGTTACCCGTAAAGCTGACTGCGTTTTTTTAATATTCTTATATCATAGAAAATAGAGTTTGACTTAAGCGTAACTACTGCAGATTCTTACTCTCCAGTGCCCGAGAAGGCGTTTTCCTCTATGTGCTGCATCTGGTTGTCGTAAAGTGAGAGCCGTTCCAACGCCCGTAACCCTGAAAATGCTGCCTGACCCAGAATCTTGATCATGTTGTAGTTGAGGTTCAAGAATGAAAGATTCTGAAGGTGCTCCAACGCTGCCGTCGGGACCTGCACCAGGAAACGTTTATAGTAAGAATATATTTAACGCTTACAGTAACATTACATACGGACAGCAAATATTTTACATTATAATTACAAATTCAAAGATAAGTACTGTAGTTAGGTATTGCATTAAAATAACAATTGCCTAAGGTAGTTGAAATAATAGCAAATGGTGTAATGTATAAAACTATAACTCAAACAACAAATGTAGAATGACTGAAAACAGGTATTGTAGTGTATGTAAACAAAGGCTATGACAATAACAGGTGAAAGAGGAATGTAAACGCAATATGTAATTTATACAAACAAAAGCTTTGGCAGGTAATAACAGTTTGTAAATCTGAGGTCAGTAAGCAAGTACCGTGTGTAAATTATTGTAGGAGAGGTCCAGGGTCTCGAGGGTCTGTGCCAGCGTCCTGAGCGAGGACTCCTCCACCACGGTGATGTTGGTCCTGCTCATGGTGAGGTGCTGCACGTCCAGCCCCAGGAAGGTGTAGTCGTGCACCCTCGGGAAGTTTAAGTTCCTGAACATAAGTCTGTAGATAACGAAGGAGTTCTCCTTGAGCACACTCAGGCTGTGCATGATCTGTGACTCGTCCGAGGTCTCGCACGCTATACTGGGACCTGCGGGTGATGGCGGGGAGATATGTTTATTATCTCGTCTTGCTCTGTCTGTCTCTCCTCCTTGTCCCTTCCCACTCTCTCATTTTACTACTATTTTCTCCCTCCTCTATGCCCAAATCCATCTAACTGTTCCTTCCTATGCCCTCATCTACCTCCTCCTGTTCCTCTTCTATTCCCCATTTTATCTCACCTTCCTCCCTCACCGTCCCTACCACTCAGCTGACCCTCATCCTACCCCTCGCTTTCCCCAACTCCCCCAGGACCAGTACCCCAGCTGACGGTAATGTTGTCTGTCTCGTTACACCCCCGTCTTTCCTGTCAGTAACCCCGGGTACAGAGGTTGACACGCCGACCCTGACATCCCAGCAGTGATCTGTCTGTCTGTCTGTCTATCGTCTGTCTGTCGTCTGTCTGTCTGTCGTCTGTCTGTCGTCTGTCTGTCTTACTTCGTTATATCTCTGTAATAAACACATCAGTTACACGCGGACAGAAACACCAGAATTCATAGTCGTTCACCACCTGTATATTTTTGACATACCTTTGATGACTAGAGACGGTCCTGACGTAACCATTAAGAGGTGATGTGTTTGGAAACTTGAAGAAGCAACTCAAAGCATTAAGACGCAACTCTAAGCATTAAGAAGCAGCATCTACAAGTTTCCAAACGTTATTTTAACTTCATCTACAACCTTCCAGATAAAATGTTTAGTGCATTTACAAGACGTATGTACAATCTTTTGAAACCCGTTTTAAAAGTAAAGATTGACGTTCGATGACTAAAGCAGATTTTTCATAGTGAGGGCCAAAAATATTTCGTAAAATAACGTGTTGATGTGATATTATTCATCCATGTTAACTATTGACATAAAATAAAATCCAATTATACAGCATAACTTTTTCTGAGCCTCTGGGATGGCCAAAAGGTTACCAGGGGCTCAAACCCTATATGAGATTTCACACTCCTGTACGTACAACTATCAGGCTCTTTAACATGCAAACATCTACTAGTCGTACTTGAGGAACACTGTGGGGGACATACCTCTGGACTTCTCCTTGCAGGTACAGGGGAAGATCTTGTTAGGTGGGAGACAGGAGACCCCAGCGGCTGTCTTAGCCTCCCCCAGCAGCACCGTCACCGCCGCCATCACTACCACCGTCCTCATCATCCCGCACACTTGCATCACTTCTTCAGTGTGTACGTCCCCCCTCCTCCTCCTCCTCCTCCTCCCCCTCCTCCTCCTCCTCTTTCTCCTTCCTCTGTCGTCTCTCCCTGCTTCTCCCTCACGCACGTCTTCCTTCTTCGCCGTGGCGCCTCCTCTTCCTGCTGCTGCTGTTGCTGCTGCTTACACACACACACGTCTCTCCCCTCCCTTCTTCTCCCCCCTCCCTCACTTCCCCCTCTTCTTCACACACCTCCTCCGTCAGAAGCTATTGATGCTCCTTCTCCCTCCTTAGTTATATCCTTCAGTTATCTTGGATCTCTCTGTCCCTCTCTCTCTCTCTCTCTCCAACACCTCTGATAGATTCTCTCTATTTCGACCTTCCCACTCTCGATCTCTTCCCTCAGTGAACCACTCTCACCTCTCTCTCTCTCTCTCTCTCTCTCTCTCTCTCTCTCTCCTACAGATCCTCTTACAGATCCTCTTACAGGAGGAAATAGTTCTTGTTGAGAGGAAGAGTGAAGTTCGTGAGCCCTTCAACAGAACCTGACGATGGTCTATACGGAAGTCCTCAGCCCCTGTAAGAGAGACAAACACGCACCTGAGAATGACTGTCGGAGTGTGAAGCTGTTGTGAAGTCTCTGCAAGATTTTAATTAAGTTTTTGTGATTATTTTCTCTGTTCCTGAAGGTCAAATTGTTTCTGCAATAATCTATCTGTTCTTGAGAGTTAACTTGCTCTTGTGAGAATACGTCATGTGTCTCTGTAGAGGAGGGAAGGAGGTAATGAGGCTTAAAGGAACTAGATATAGAAGGTCGACTCTTGTTTGGTTGAAGTCAGGGCGGTGATACTTGTCATTTTGTTAATATCTCGTTCCCTGTCTTAATCCCAGTCCACAAGAAAAAGAATATAAGAAAAATGAATGTTTGTGTCATCAACCTGGGAATGAGACGCAGCCATAAACTTATTTCTGTTGTAATTACACGGTTTTGCACAACATGAAACCCATCGTCGCTTGTTTACCGCAATGCATTCTGGGGAACTTTCGGTGTCAACTCGGCCATTGTTGTTTATATCCAGCTTGAATTAAAATAGATGCATGACGTTGCTGCAGTTATTTTCCGCTAAAATGCTAAAAGTTAACTGGTATCTGCCGAACTGTTTCAGCAACAAAGCGAGCGCCTTTAAATTTCCATCAGCTGCCAACCGATGAAAAGAGAAGAAAACTTAAGAAACGTTAGATCAGAAATGAAACCATTGGTACCAAAACTAAATGGACCAGCAGTTGCAGCTTCCTTGCTGTCCATTGTTCAGTTCAATAAATTAGAATTTTTTAACGAAAGGACAAAATACTATGGTTTATATATACAAATATTTGATTCTTCGACTTTTTGCCTCCTGAACCTTAGTAAATCCCTGCAAACACGAGTGTATAGCAAGAGAGCTGCCTCTGCATCACTAGGTAGTAGGCAGCTACCAAACAGGGAGGTACTACCACCTGAGAAGATATTGGAAGCATAATGTATTGTCTAATGGTAGACCCTGCTGCCATAAGGCATCACGAAAATTGTGACCAAGTCCCAGGTTGCTCATCTGACTTTCTGCCTCATTTACACACAATTGCAGGGTTTCAATTGTTTCTCTTACTATTGACAACACAAAATGCAATAAATCGTTTCTTTTTCGTTTGTGTATTTATTTATGATTATTATTATTAGTATTTATATTTTTTGGTTAAATTTGTTATATTTTTTTATTAATCCCCGTAAAAAAAATAATTTGTTTAAAGTGTGACCCCATTATTACTAGAATAACACAAGGCAGAGATAAAGTGATGGACAACATAGATGATTGTTCAGTGTCTGAAACCAACATCAGTCAATGGACTCAACCAAATAATTATATATATATATATATATATATATATATATATATATATATATATATATATATATATATATATATATATATATATATATATATATATCACTGGTTCCCAGGTAGGGTCGTCCTCTGCACTGATGGTTCTGTTGACCCCGCTACAGGTAGGGCCGGGGCTGGTGTCTACATCTCCCGTCCTCATGCCCTGAGCCTATCAAACTGTCTCTCAGAGTTTCTGACGGGGCATCCTCCACTCAGGCTGAACTAATAGCCCTCCTTGCTGCCCTTCTCGCTGAGGAAGAAGCAGATGGTTTCTGCCCCTTGCTTGTCTGCTGCGATTCCAAGTCTGCTCTCGACGGGATCGCATTTGGATCAGGGGAAAATAAGGACCTCATCCTCCGAATACGAAGGTTAACATCCACACTTCAGGATGCAGGCCGTCCTGTGACATTCCTATGGATACCTAGTCATGTCGGTATCTTGGGGAATGAGGCAGCAGATGGCCTTGCCAAGACTGGCTGCAACAAGGCCACACCTGACTACGTTGTTCCTCGAACACTCTTACAGATTAGGACCCAAATTCGCCGCAAACAGAGAGAAGCTCGGGAAGCAGCCATCCCCCTGGACTCCCCGCCCACCTGGTACGATGTCCTCCGTAAACTTCCTGACCTCTCGTACGTCTACGGGAAAGGGTCGCGGAAAGGGGACGTGATTGCTGCCCGTACCATCATTGGGTATGACTTTGCTTGGGAGATTGGTATCCCCGCATCCCCTGAGCAACGATCTTGTGCATTATGCAGAAGACCCGACAGCAGCACCCTTATTCACTACCTCCTAAGATGTCCCCACACACAACGCTTCCGTGACGCCTGCTGGACCACCACTCCACGACCCCCTGACGGAGACACGATGATCCTCCCCATACTGGCCAGATATTTTGTAAATAATATTGATTATGTGTTAAAGGAATATCCTTCCTTCCTTAGGCTTTAGTAAGCCCCTTTATAATATTTATACTGTATATACTTGTCACACTTGCCAGATGCTTCTGGTGTCATTGTACAGGGGTACCTAGTGACAGCACTAGGATCCCGCTTCCTCTATCAAGGAATAAACAATTGAAATTGAAGTATATATATATATATATATATATATATATATATATATATATATATATATATATATATATATATATATATATATATATATATATATATATATATATATATATATATATATAGTATATATATATATATATATATATATATATATATATATATATATATAAATTTTTTTTGTCCCTCCTGTTCAGACTAATTACTGGTTCCAGCATCAAGATTTTTCGATAGAATACCCGTCACCTGGTTCCTCCAATTCAAGTAATACTTATTCAGAATATTCCAACTGTACACGCCTACCTCCCAATTGCCAACAAAATCAAAATGTTTCTTCAGTTTTCAACATAATGTTTCATAACAATCTGTCAATATTTTGTTTCACGTAAATTAAAATATTTACCTTAAAAATATACCTTTTATTTCTTCAGCTCCAATTGAACGCCAGTAATTTGTGTTCATTTTCTTTGCAGACATTTCTGTCATATCCACCAATTACTTGAATATTTCTGTCGTCATTCTAAAGAAACCAAAAAATATGTCTGGGTGGTTCAGTATACTGGTCCGGAAACAAATATTTAAAAGCACCAAAATCTGGCCTTTTGGTGTTGACTGTATGTGCTTTGATTGGAGTAGTTTGTGACTGCACCCTGAGACCCTGGTGTCACATTTGTCATCACTCGTTACTAAAGTATCATATGCCCGAACTGTTTATTTTTGTTTACTGTTCTTTTATATCATTATATGCAAAAATTAGGGATCTTTTTGGAGAAACCATTTGTTCTACTTGAGTATGAAACATATAAACAAATACACAGATAACAGTAAAAACAAAATAAAAGTCAATTGCCACTTATCTCCTACCTAAGAATCGTCTTGAAATTCTGTTTTGTTTTTTCCGCAATGGTCAGTGAGGTTTGTTTCCTGACGCTTCCTGTTTAACTGTGTAAATATAACTTATACAGTAATATGAAAGGCGTACTAATGCCTGAAAACATTGTAAAGTTAAATATACAAAGTCTTTTTACAGTGGTAATTCTTATAGAGTGACCGGCGCCCTAAGTAAGGCCCCGCCCCGCCTTAATTAAATTCGTTCACTAAACATCACCCATGAAACGAATTGCCTCCCATCATAATGTTCCCTAACTAATCAATATTTAGTGAACTTATTTATTTAAAGTATAGTCTCTCAGTGTAATTCTGAAGCTGTCAGTAGGTGGCGCTGGACGACGGTGTCAGGGTAGAGAAACTACATCCTGTGTTTATTTACGTTTTATATAGCACCGAGACACCATCTTTTATATCAGGTGCTTCAATAGGAACAAACACACACACACACACACACACACACATTATTTAGTCTCACATGAAATAAATGAACACTGGAGGTATAAATATGTAATGTACTTCTTGTCAAAAACGACTTAATTTCTCAAGAAGCCGTAGTATAACGTTAGGTTCGGTGTAGAAACATAATATGGTGCTCTCCACATAACCACTAACAGACTCTCTTCATCAACATATTCTCCCTGCTATTCACCTAAGTAATTCCTAATATGTCACCACACTCATTAGTACATTTATCATTGACCACAACAGTATATCAACCACCCGCTTTAATAGTTGTTGTTCTCGGGTCAACATAAGGTCAGTGTATCTCATGTTAATACTCAACACACGATAAAATTTACTTTCCTATGTTTATAAGACTTCAAACACCATATTACACCTGAAGAAAATGGTGTAATTAGATTCGATACCATCTGCTAATTTCTTTATTTTTTCTTAATTTTTCTCTTCTTTTTCAATTCCTAAATCATACAGCGGTCCCAAAGGTCGCCTATAATTTTGAATAAAACGACAGTAAGATTCGCAAGCACAAAAATTGACTTTGTTTGTTATGATGAGTATTTACCCTGAAATTATAGGTAACAGGAACAAACACACACACACACACACACACACACACACAAGTTAACCAAATTATTCTTATCTGTCCGGATTTACAAATATTTCTACGTTAAAATTATCATCACTAAAACATTATCAATATACGACCCGTGACTCGCAATACAAATAAACTGGGTGTGAATTCTCAAGGCTTTTTTTTTTCAGTAACTTGTACGATAAATCCCGTCTAGGTTAGCGTTGGGTTAGGTTTGAGTTAGCAGTCTTAACACACTGTATATCGGTAAAGAAAACCTCAAAGATTTTTCTAAGAATTTACATGTGACACCTCCATTAAAATACTTCATAACAGGATAATTTTTCACCTTATTCCCTCTCCCTATATTACGTCTCGTGCCACATATCCACAGCCTACCTTACTGATAACATTCTACACGGGTCCCTTCAGTTAAACAACAAACTCAACACAGTTACATGTTACTCCAGCTATCAACACACCGACCTTACACCTAGGTCGATTTAAAAGTTGTTAACGGGAAATTCTTACATTGAGTAATATAGTGAAGATTTATTGTTACTAAATCCAGACCTGCTCTAATGATCACTACTTTCATATAATTATGAGGTACAACCTACAGTGACATGGAGCACAGCGGCGTTAACAACTCTTAAATTGCTCAATATACTCACGGCTCTCTGGGGTCGACTTGTTTTCATAACAAACTTGTAAAAAGAAACTCACAATAAACTTGTTTGTCGTAACGTAGTTGGTGGAGCCGATGGCGATCTGAGTGACCTCGTAATTCACAGTCCTTTGATTACAGCTATTTATTTTTGCTATACGTTCATCATCACAACTCACAGACGATCCACTTAAGAATGGGCACTCGATCAATTTGACGACACTTGAGTAAGTTAACTAATTCGTGAGACCACCACCACCCACAACTCACAACACAGCTACACTACCACCCACAACTCACAACACAGCTACACCACCACCCACGACTCACAACACAGCTACACCACCACCCACGACTCAACACAGCAGCGCCAGTGTCACCAGAGTAGGACTCTGGAGCCAGTGTGAGGGGTGGCAGTATCGTGTCGTGAGGGCTGTCTGTGGCGGGCGCCTGGACAATCTGGGTCTGAGGGCAGAGGAAGCAAAGTCCCAAACTCAGTAACTAGCGGCGTCTGTAGCCATGTTTAGTTTACTTAGATCCCGAAGGTGAGGTTGTCCAGGGCTGGTCCTCCCTCGGGGGTTGTCAGCGGGTTGTGGAGAGCTGTAGGGTGACCATGGGGTGTTATAGATGGGTATAATAAGCGGTTCATGATGTTCACGGATGGAGGTTATTAAACGGTATGTCCCTTACGCTCCAGTGAATCACACGGCTTACTTTGTTCCATAAAGGTTCGTTCGTGGCCGCTACTGTAGGGGTAAACTGAGGTGCAAGCTGGCCTCACAGGTGGCCAGGTGGACGGCTTTGTGTTCCCACAGGTGAGATGGAACTCGAAGGGGTCAGAACCATAGATGAGGAGGAGTGAGGAGGCGGAGCGAAGGCACTCCACTAACCAAAACGTGTGTATGTGTGTGTGTGGCACTGCCTGGTGGGGCAGGACGATGAAACGAATCATCATGTGCTTCGTTAAAGCGAGGATCGCCCGGCCATCACGTTCCTCACCTCCCCCTCTCACCCACTTTAAATTTATTTCTCTCCTTTTGTCGCCTATTCATCAACAGTGCCGCGCCTCCCCCACACCTTGTTGTAACGTAATTGTTTCCCCGAGACAGCGCAGACACCAGGACGAACACACATACTGACAAGATAATTATTGCTCCTCCCGTGGATATCAATGTTTAGAGACAGTGATGGCGGGTCACTGGCCAAAATCTGGGCAAATAATGACGTCATCATGGCTACCCCTCTGCCCCTATCAATAAACTACTGGCCAGCCCTCACAAAGTGCCACTCAATGTGGCACTCTGACTGTCACTCAAAATGTGCCACTCAAACCATAGCACACAGAATTGGGCACTCAGATCGTCGCATTTACACCGCGCCACCTATTTCATAGCACTCACACTAATGGTCAGAATAAAAAACTCAAACTGTCATTCAGATGGTGGCACCTTGAGTGTCGTATATTGCCAGTTAACATCACTATATGAGTGGCAGTTCCGCTGTGTAGACGCGTCCCGCCATCACTACCTCCACGGGAGGCGACGAGACCACACTAAACCTAACCTTACCTAAAGTGTAGTTGTGTCCAGAACCTCTGGAAGAGTCTCTGATCACCTCTCATACAGCTGTTGTCCGTATAGGTGACTGGACTCCAAGTATCCTCCACGAAATCCGAAGAATTTGTACAGTGAACTAAGGATGGTTAATGATGCTTTCATCTGTTTTAATTGTTCATTACAATTTGTATAAATACCAAATATTTCATGATTTTTAGTCGACAATACATAGGTAATATCCGTCTAGATAGTTATGGGTGAGAAAAAACAATCTTTGGAGATGCTTTTATGATTTCAAATGAAAGTTTGATGTATTATCTTTCAATCAAATTTCCAATATTAAGATATAATGTCATCTACAATTTGTAATATATCATGAACATATACTACAGTAGACCACTTTTGCATCACGAGCCTTTTTTTCTGGTTTGAGTCTTCATGTCTGGTGTTCCTCCTGGTGGACCATAACTTGGGGTCTGGAGGATGGGCAGTACTTCTGAATCTTTTTGGCTTTTATTTTTCACTTGTGTTTGAGGCATGTGAAGCTCACTGGTGTGGCGTGCTAACAGCTCGCCAGGAGGTGTACCTTATGACTGGGAATAGCTGTGGTCTACCTCCAGGGAAATTTTCTCGTCATATGGTAACTGTTTACACGATGCTTTAGCCACCTGGAGGAAAGGTCTAGTTAACCTACTTAAGACTCGCAGGTCGAGACGTGTAGCCCGTTGTCCAGAACTTGAAGGTGGTTGAACACATGTTTCACCACACTATCAACCTTATATCCTGGAGAGTTTTCACTGAATGGTTGATTTTTCAGGAAATCTAGTGCATAGTTGGACCTCCACGTAAAGCCAATTCAAAGATAACAACAGAATACCCATAGTATTCTAACCATACCCAATTATGTTGAGGTGGCCTTACTCCCCTCTTAACTACTCGACGAGAGTATCGTTTGTCTGAATGTTACTGTGACCAGCCAACATTAGTGAGGTAAGAGCTGAGTGGACCACCCGGGATGTGATGACCGCTCCCTCACCTTACCATGACGACAGGTTGTTGTCATGGAGTAACTAACCTAAAGGCTGACCACCGTAGACCGATGGTAGCAGACGTTCGCACACCAGACAAACAACACCCAGTAGACCTAGCCGTGTCATAGCGCCATCCTGCCTCTCTTGTTAACTAGGTCCTGTAATAGACTCGGGGAGGGGAGGGGTTAAGCTTCATTGTTTTAACACATGTACCCGACAACACGCGGTCACGCCCCAGGTATACCAGCAGACAAAAGGTGTTGCTAATATGGAGTTTCACAGAGTTCGGGCGTACAACATTTCTGGGAAGATCTCTTTACCTCATTACTATCACTTCCCTTAACAATATACCGTTACCATCATCACTCCCATACTGGTGTACTCGTACGATGGAAGTAAATGTTGACACAAAGGTGACGGAGAATTGGAGTAACTAACAAGGTGCTCACAAACTCCCCTTGTAGTAAGAACAGAGCGTGTTTATCCATCAACAAAACAGAGGAGGTCTTTATAACATGGCGTGTACAATACCATGGATGGATGCAGATAAATGAATTTCCATGAGACAGAAGTGTAAAAATAATTTAAACTAACTTTACTGATACAAATAATTGTCTGCCTTACTAAGTGTACTGAAGGTGTATTAGGAAGATTACCTCTGTTGACGTCACACCACACACCATAAAAGGGAAGGTGTTTCCATATGGTTACCTTTATAGGCACATACTGGTGTACCGGGGAGGGACACACCAAGACACACATACTGGTGTGCCGGGAGGAGGAACACACCCGGCAGGACCCCACATACTGGTGTACCGGGAGGAGAACACATGACAGGACTAACATACTGGTGTACCGGGAGGAACACACCAGACAGGACCCCACATACTGGTGTGTACCGGGAGGAGAACACACCGGACAGGACCCCACATACTGGTGTGCCGGGAGGGGACACCAAGACACACAGTGTACCGGGAGGAGGAACACACCAAGACACACAAACTGTGGTGTACCGGGAGACACACCAGACACACAAACTGGTGTACCGGGAGGAGGAACACCTGGACAGGACCCCAACATACTGGTGTGTGCCGGGAGGAGGAACACACCGGACAGGACCCCCACATACTGGTGTGCCGGGAGGACGGAACACACCGGACAGGACCCCAACATGCTGGTGTATCCGGGAGGACACACAGACACACAAACTGGTGTACCGGGAGGGGGACACCAAGACACACAAACTGGTGTACCGGGAGGAGGGAACACACCGGACAGGACCCCATACTGGTGTACCGGGAGGAAGGAACACACCTGACAGGACCCCATACTGGTGTACCGGGAGAGAACACACCTGACAGGACTATGCTGGTGTACCGGGAGGACGGAACACACCGGACAGGACCCCAACATAATGGTGTGCCGGGGAGAACACACCAGACAGGACCCCCACATACTGGTGTGCCGGGAGGAGGGAACACACCGAGACCCACATACTGGTGTACCGTGAGGAGAACACACCGGACAGGAGCCCCACATGCAGGTGTGCCGGGAGGAGAACACACCGGACAGGGCCCACATACCTGGTGTACCGGGAGAGGGAACACACCGGACAGGGCCCCACATGGGTGTACCGGGAGGAGGGAACACGCCGGACAGGACCCCATACTGGTGTGCCGAAGGAGGGAACACCCAGACAGGACCCCCACATACTGGTGTGCCGGGAGGAGAACACACACCGGACAGGAGCCCCACATGCAGGGTGTACCGGGAGGAGGACACACCTGACAGGACCCCCACATACTGGTGTGCCGGGAGGAGGAACACACCTGACAGGACCCCAACATACTGGTGTACCGAAAGGAGAGACACACCGGACAGGACCCCACATGCATGGTGTACCGGGAGGAGGAACACACCGAGACCCACATACTGGTGTGCCGGGAGGAGAGAACACACCGAACAGGACCCTCACATACTGGTGTACCGGGAGGGAACACACCGACAGGACCACCATGCTGGTGTGCCGGGGAGGAGAACACACCGGACAGGACCCCAACATGCTGGTGTACCGGGAAAACACCGGACAGGACCCCCACATACTGGCGTACCGGGAAGGCGGCAAAACCCACATACTGGTGGCACCGGAGAACACACCGAGCAAGACCCACTGGTGCAACGGACCGACCCCACATACTGGTGTGCCGGCTACCGCACAGACACATACTGGTGTACCGGGAAACACACCGAGCCACATACTGGTATTGCCGGGAAACACACCACAGGAACCCCACATGACTGGTGTGCCGGGAGAACGCACACCGCAGAGCCCCCATCCGTGGTGCCGGAGGATTCACACCTGGCAGACCCACATACTGGTGTGCCAGGAAACACACCTGAGAACCCCACATCTGAAACCACCAAACCCACATACTGGTATGCAGAGCACACCAGGCAAAGCCCTTCAACCTCATTGTTTCACCACCCACACATCCCTCTTGGCCGCCCCACTCTCCCGTGCCCTCTCCCTCTCCCTCCCTGCATCTCTCTCTCTCTCTCTCTCTCTCTCTCTCTCTCTCTCTCTCTCTCTCTCTCTCCCTCCCTCCGTCCTTCTCTCCTCCCCACTCCTCTCCTCTCTCCCTCCCTTGCGTCCTCTCCCTCCTCCTCTCACTCTCCCCTCCCTCGTCCCTCTCACTCACTCACTCACTCCTCTCCCCCCCCTCCGTGCTCCCTCCTCTCCTCTCCTCTCCTCCCACTCCTGCGTACTTCTCTCTCTCTCTCTCTCTCTCTCCTCTGCGTCCTCTCCTCTCTCTCTCTCCTCCAACCTCCCTACGTCCCTCTCCTCTCTCCAACCCTGCGTCCCTCTCCTCACTCCCTCTCTGCATCCCTCTCCTCATTCTCTCTCCCATCCCTCTCCTCCCTCGCTCTCTCCCCCCCTCCCTCATCCCTCTCCCTCCCCTCCCCACCCACTCTCTCTCCCCCTCCCCTGCGTCCCTTCTCCCCTCCTCTCTCCTCCCCCTCCCCTGTCTCTCTCTCTCTCTCTCTCCCCTGTCCCTCTCCCTCTCTCACCCTCCCTACGTCCCTCCCCTCACTCACTCCTCCCTCTCACCCCTCCTGCGTCCCTCTCACCTCCTCCCTCCTCCTCCCTCCCTGCGTCCCTCTCTCCTCTCCCTTCCCTGCACCTCCCTCTCCTCCTCTCCTCTCCCCACTCACTCCTCTCTCTCCCTCCCTCCATCCCTCTCCTCACTCTCTCTCCCCTGCGTCCT